TCCCCAGGACCCCCCAGATGTCCCCATTGCTCCCCAGGAGGGGACAGCAGGGATGGATCCGGATCTCTGTCCCCCCCAGGACCCCCCAGATCTCCCCATTGCTCCCCAGGAGGGGACAGCAGGGATGGATCCAGACTCTCTGTCCCTCCCCAGGACCCCCCAGATGTCCCCAGGAGGGGACAGCAGGGATGGATCCGGGTCTCTGTCCCCCCCCAGGACCCCCAGGTCTCCCCCCTGCCCCCCAAGCTCGTCCCTGTCCCCATCAGTGCCCCAGGGGGTGCCCCCAGACCGCTGCAGGCAAACGGGGGGGCCAAGAGGGGGGTCCCACCCAAGGGGGGGGTCCCACCCACCCACCCACCCACAGGCCTCGGCCCCGCGGGGGTCCAGGGGGGTTTTGCTCAGCCGAGGCAGAGCAGGGGGTCCCTGGGTGGGGAGGGGTCTGCGCTGCCCTGCCGGGGGTCCCCCCATCCCTGGGGGGCCCGGGGAGCGCCCCGCTCTGCAGCGGGGTGGGGTGACAGCGCATCCCCCCCCCAAATTCTTTCAGATTCTGCTCTCGCCTCCTTCTTTGCCAAAAATATTCCGGCGAGTCCCGCTGCCCGCGGCTCCCGCTGGCGGAGAAAGCGGGACGCGGCTGCCCCCGAGCGCGGGCGCTGCAGACGGGACCCCCCAACCCAGAACTGCTCCCCCGGCCCCCCAAAAAAAGGAGCTGGCACAGCTGGAGTCTCCCCGGGGCTGAGCCCCCCGCCTCAGCCCGCCGGCGTGCCCAGAATTTGGGGTGCAGCCGGGCTCTGCCCCCTCTGCAGCTGGCACAGACCCCAAAGCGGCACCCCCAGCCCCCCAAAATCTGAGGGGGGCTCGGAGGGCCTGGGGGGGCTGGGGGAGGCTCGGAGCTGTGCCGTGTGGGGGACCCCAGAACCAGCCCCCCCTGGCCCTGGCTGCAGCCCCCTTAGCCCTGATACCCCCCAAAATCTGCCTCACCCTAACCCCCAGCCCAAGGACCCCAAAACTCCTCTGTGCCCCCCATTAGACCTGATACCCCCCAAAATCTGCCTGTCCCGACACCTCTCACCCTAACCCACAGCCCAAGGACCCCAAAACTCCTCTGTGTCCCCCCCCTAACCCCTGATGCCCCCCAAAATCTGCCTTTCCCCATGGCTAACCCACAGCCCAAGGACCCCAAAACTCCTCTGTGTCCCCCCTTAACCCCTGATACCCCCCAAAATCTGCCTTTCCTGGGGCCTAACCCACAGCCCAAAAACCCCCAAACTCCTGTGTCCCCCCCTTAGCCCTGACGCCCCCCAAAATCTGCCTCTCACCCTAACCCCCAGCCCAAGGACCCCAAAACTCCTGTGTGTCCCCCAGCAGGGGCTGGAGCAGCCTCAGAGGGGCGGGGGGCACGGCTCCATCCCCCCCAAACCAGCCGCGGGCAGAGAGAAGGGGCTGGGGGGCACTGGGGGGGGACTGAGGGGCTGTGGAGATGTGGGGGCCTGTGGGGGGATTTTCGGGGGGCTCTGAGGGACTCGGTGCCGTGCCCGTGGTCCCCGGCAGTGGCGAACAGCCGGCGGCAGCGGCTGCTGCGCCCTCATTAAATCGCCCCTAACGAGCTCGGAGCCCCGGGGCCCTGCCGGACTCGGGTCATTAGGGCTGACAAGGACCTGTCACAGCGGGAGACGTGGCGTGAGTGTCCCCAGCCGCGGGGCAGCCACCGGGGACCGGCCTGGGGGCGATTGTCCCCCCGTCATCCCGAGCAGCAGCGCCGGTCCTGCCCTGCGAGGTCCGCGCGTCCCCCCGGGGCCGGAGCACGAAGCGACCCCGGCCCTGCCCGCGCTGGGGCTGGGCAGGGGAGCAGGAGGGGTCCTGGGGGTCCCGAGGCTCCACGGCAGCACCGGGGGGGAGGAAGAGGAAGGAGACAGGGAAAGGAACAGAAAGGGAAGGGGAGAAAGGGGGAAAAAAAATATAGGGGGAAAAGGAAAGGGGATGGGACAGGAGCGCTGCCGAGCCTTGAGCGCCTCTCCCAGCACCGCCGGGGCCGCGAGAGGAGGAGGATGAGGAGCAGAACCCCCTCAATCCCTGCTCCAGCCCCTCGGGAAGGGGATGAAGAGAGGATTCCACTCTTCTCCATTCCCTCAGGAAGAGGATGAGGAGCAGAACCCCCTCAATCCCTGCTCCAGCCCCTCGGGAGGAGGATGAGGAGCAGAACCCCCTCAATCCCTGCTCCAGCCCCTCGGGAAGGGGATGAAGAGAGGATCCCACCCTTCTCCGTTACCTCAGGAAGGGGATGAGGAGCAGAACCCCCTCAATCCCTGCTCCAGCCCCTCGGGAGGAGGATGAGGAGAGGATCCCATCCCTCTCCAGCCCCTCGGGAAGGGGATGAGGAGCAGAACCCCCCGCCCCAGCCCCCCGGCAGTGCCGCCCCTCCCCGGGAACCCCCCGACACAGATAAGGAGCCCCGGTGCTCCCCGGGGCACGTTTAATCTGGGACAGGACAGTTATTGGATAAATACCATGAATATGGAGATTGCATTTATGCTGATTTATGGCCGGGGGGGCAGGTGGGGAGCGCAGACGCTTTAGTTTACTTTAATCCATTTATTTCCCTGCCTGGAGATGGAGAACGAGCTCCGAGCGCTGCATCTGCTGCTCCCCGTCCTCCGTGGGGTCCGGAAAGGGGGTGCGGGAGGGGAGGGGGTGCAGGAGGGGGTGCAGGAGGGGATGGGGGTGCAGCAGGGGGTGTCCCCACCCTCGCGTCCCCCGGGGGGAGCTGCTCCCCTGGGATGATGGATGGATCTGGCACGAGAGCCGTGGGATTTCAATTAATTCCGGGGCCCCGCAGTCTCCTGACCTTCGATGGGGTGCGGGGAGAAGTGGAGGTGATTGATGGGGAGGTCACGGGGGGGCTCCTCCAGCCGCACCCCGTGTGTTCCGTGGGGTGGGATGGGGAGCGGGGAGATGCCGAAGCCAGGTCACAACCAGGATGGGAAAACCACGCGAAAAGAGGGAAAAAAAAAAACAAAAAAACAAAAAACAAAAACCCTAAAGTGCTCAACAGCCATAATTTGGGGGGGGTGGAAAATCCCATCGCACCCCTCTCCTCAGCCCATCCACCGGGTGCCAGTGACGCCCCAACTTTGGCTGCCCCCCACATCCATCCGGGGAGCAGCGGGAGCTGGATGTGAGGAGGGGGATGCACCTCTTAATTGCACCCTATTAACTGCTGATCAATCCAATTAGCTCCTGGCTGTAATGAAGGGCAGCTGCTTGGCTGGGGCCAGCTCTCCCTCCCTCTCAAAACACATCCCCAAACGCATCCGAAAACGCGTCCCAAAACCCATCCCACCCTGGCATCCCACCAGGAGCCGGCAGGGAAGGGGGCTGGGGGGGTGGGAGGCTGATAGAAGGTGCTTTACCCAATTTTCCAGCTGACTCTAATTAAGTTGTTCTCTTCAGCTGTTAAATTAGCCAGAGTCCTCCCCCCTTCCCAGGGTGGTTCCCCCCCTTTCCCTCCCCACCGCCCAGATGCAGCAAATCAGCTGCTCCCGCCCCCCCCCTCCCGCAGGGCTCCGCAAATAAATAAATAGACAATCCCGGGAAAATTAACCGTGTGAGGAGCCGCAAATGAGGTGGAAAATTTTAATGGTTCGGCATTTAAAGCTGTGTGACAGGAGGAGAAGGGGGAGGAGGAAGAGGGAGGGAGGTCAGTCCCAGTCCCAGTCCCAGTCCCGAGGACTGCCCCCCTCCATCTCTCACCCCCTCATTTCCATCATTCCCGGAGCAGCATCTCCGCTACTCGGGGTGCTGGGAATGGGGGGAGACCCCCTGGGTGGGGTGTGGGGGGGGTCGCACACCTGCTTCCCTCCCCCCCGGGGTTCCCCTGTACCCCCCATAACCCCCTCAGCATCCCCGGCCCCACGGAGCGCGGGGGGGGCGCGGGGACCCCTCCTCACTCCCCCCTCCCCGTTCCGCCTTCCCCCCCGTTCCGTGCCCGGTACCGGCACCGGGGTGGGGGCTGCCCCAAGAGCCGCCCGCCAGGGGGCGCCGCTACCTCCGCGCCTCATTTGCATACGTTTGCATAGATTTGCATAGCGCCGCGCGGCGCGTCGGCAGCGCCGCCTCGCGGCGGAGGCGGGGAAAGCGCGGCCACGCCCACCTTGTAGACCACGCCCACCGCACAGGCCCCGCCCACCCCGCCCGTCGCCGTGGTTACCGCTGACGTCACGGGGCCGTGACGTCACGGGCGCAGCCCCGGTGGCTCGGCGCCCGCCCCCGCCGCGCCCCAAGGTCCCGGCCCGTCCCCGGCACCGGCACCTGTCGCCCGCCGCCCCGATCCGGGCCCCGCCGGGCCCCGCGCCAGCGCCCGGCCCCCGCCCCCGCCGAGCGACCGGGCGGGGGGGTCCCGGTTCCGCCCCTTCCCTTCCCCTCCCGCCGCCCGTGCCCGGCTGAGCGCCCGCGGGGGGCACCGGGACCCCCACAGTGACCAGTGACCCCAGGGGCACCCCCACAGTGACCAGTGACCCCACTGGCACCCCCACAGTGACCAGTGACCACTGACCCCTCCATCGGGGCCACCGGCACCCCCACAGTGACCAGTGACC